GTTAAATGGGTTCTCAGCCATTTCTAAATGAGAACATACTGTATTTGACTTCTTTCTTTCTGCTTTAGTTTGCTACGGGCAATGACCTCCAGCTGATCTCATTCTTTTTTATGGCTTCATAGTATTCCATGTTGTATATGTATCACATTTTCTTTATCCAGTCTGTCATTGATGGGCATCTAGGGTGGTTCCATGTCTTTGCTATTGTTAATAGTGCTAGAATAAACACTATTTAGGAAAAGATGGTCCTAAATGAGTGCATGTGTCTATATGGTAAAATGATTTATACTTCTTTGTGTATATACTTAGTAATGAGATTGCTGGGTTGAATGGTAGTTCTGTTTTTAGCTCTTTGAGAAACTGCCACACTATTCTCCACAATACTGGAACTAATTAACACTTCCACCAACAGTGTATAAAGGCTCCCTTTTCTCTGCAACCTCACCAGCATCTGTTATTTTTTTAACTTTTTAATAATAGCCACTTTGACTGGGATGAGATGGTATCTCATTGTGATTTTGATTTGCATTTCTCTAATGATCATTGATGTTCACAATTGCCACAAAAAGAGTAAAATACTTAGGCAGCTAATCAGGGAGGTAAAAGATCTCTACAATGAGAATTACATGATACTGCTCAAAGAAATCAGAGGTGACACAAACAAATGCAGAAACATTCTATGTTGATGGATAGGAAGAATCAATATCATTAAAATGGCTGTACTGCCCAAATAAATTTACAGATTTAATGCTATGTCTATTAAACTACCAATGAAATTTTTCAAAGAACTAGAAAAAACTATTTTAAAATTCATATGGAAGCAAAAAAGAGACTGAATATCTAAGACAATCCTAAGCAAAAAGAACCAAGCTGGAGGCAACACTTTCCTTGACTTCAACTATACTACAGGGCCAACAGCATGGAATGGTACAAAAACTGACACATACACCAATGGAACAGAACAGAAAGCCCAGAAATAAGGCCATACACCTACAACCATCCAATCTACAACAAAGCTGACAAAAACAAGCAATGGGGAAAGGACTTCCTATTCAGTAAATCATGCTGGGATAACTGGCTAGCCATGTGCAGAAGATGACACTGGACCCCTTCCTCACACCATATAAAAAAATAAACTCAAGATGGATTGAAGACTTGTAAAACCCAAGACTATAAAAACTCTTGGAAGACAACCTAGGCAATATTATTCTGAACATAGGACCCAGCAAAAATTTTATGACAAACATGCCAAAAGCAATTATAACAAAGGCCAAAATTGACAAATAGGATCCAATTAAACTTAACAGCTTCTGCCCAGTAAAGGAAACTGTCAACCGACTAAACAGACAACTTATAGAATGGGAGAAAATATTTGCAAACTATGCATCTGACAAAGGTCTAATATCCAAATATTTGCAAACTATGCATCTGACAAAGGTTTAATATCCAGCATCTACAAGGAACTTGAAAATATTTGCAAGAAGAAAACAACCCCATTAAAAAGTGGGCAAAGGACATGAGCAGACTTTCCAAAAGAAGACATACCTGTGGCCAACTAGCATATGAATAATTTCTTAATATAGTCAGTTTCCTTGTTTTGGTTTTGGTTTTAATCCTTTTGGTTGTTTTTTAGAGAGTGGGATGGATCTCTTTCTGTCTCTATTTCTTCCACCTCATCTGACTAGCAAATTGGGGTGTCGGGGCTAAGCCTGGTCAAGCTCTTCTGAGCTCTTTACAAGGCAAGCAGGCTGCAGGAGTCCCGTACCTCTGCTATTGCCATAGGGAAGCTCTCAGGGTCTTGCTTTACTTGCAGTTTTTCAATTTCTGTTGTGATTGGGCGAGTGAGTTAAATTCAAAGTGAGCTCTTAGGAAACCCATTTGCTTTGACCAAAACTCAAGCTGATGCTTTGATCGTCAGCCATCTGACCTCCCAAACCTGCTTCCCAATTTGTTCTGAATTTGGGAAGAGCGCTGTTAAGCTTCATCAGCTGAGTATGAATATTGTTGAGAAAGAGGGAGATCAATGCCAGAAATGCCAGATGAATGAGCTAAAAGTTAAAAGTGGTTGCTTCTGGGGAAAAGAAAAGGCACAGAGGGTGGGCAGGGGAGGCAATGGTTTTCCTTTTGATTTAAACTCTTTAACAGATGAGTTTAGTTTTATAAGATGTATACATATAATATGTGGACAAACATCTTAAAACAATGAAAACCTAACATATCAAAATAGATCACATGCACCACACCCTCTCAGACTCCCAGACACCTGGGAGTCTTCCTCCCACTCCCTGCCTCCTAAATGTGTGCTGTGCTCCTCAGCAGCCCACATCCCTGCTGCTCCTGCAGTGCTTCCTGTCCTTCCTCATCTCTCACCTGGCCCACTGCAGCAGCCCCTACCTATCCTACATCTTACAGTCTGAACTGTGAGCCCCCAGTTCATAGGTTGAAGCCCGAACCCCCAGTACTTCAGAATCTGACTGCATTTAGACATAGGGCATTTAATAAGGTAATTAGGGTAAAATGAAGTTGTATGGGTGGGCCCTCATCCAGTATGACTGGTGTCCTTCTAAGAAAAGGAATTTAAGACACAGACCTACAGATAGAAGAAAGATGATGTGAAGACAGAGGAGAGGATGGCCACTTGCAAGCCCAGGTGAGAGGCTCAGAAGAAACTGCTGCCAACTCAGTCTCAGATTTCCACCTTCCAGAACTGTGCAAAAACACATTTCTGCAGTTTAAGCCCCCCAGGCTGGGGTTCTTTGTTATAACAACCATAAAAAACTAATACACCATCTCCCCACCTTCCTTGCCAGGATCTGATCCACCTTCTTCTACTTTTTGAAAAGTTAGAAGAAGTTTTTCAAAAATGTATACCTGATAAAGCGACTCTCCTGCTTAAAATCCTTACAGGATTCCCTCATTGCTACTGGATAGAACCCTTAGCACGAGATACCAAATCTGCTCCTACTTTCTCTCACCTGACTCTCCTTATACCTAAGCCTCAGCTGTAGTGAATTACAGTAGACCCTTGAAAAACACGGGCTTGAGCTGGGCAGGGCCACTTGTCCGTGAAATTTTTTTAGTACAAGTTATACCCTGTGTGCCTGCTTCTCCTGCCTCCTCTGCCACCTCCTCCACCTCTTCCCGAGACAGCTAGACCAACCCTTCCTCCTTCTCCTCAGCCTACTCAACGTGAAGACGATGAGGATGAAAATCTTTAAGATCCACTTCAATGCAATGAATAGTAAATATGTTTTCTCTTATGATTTTTAAAATAACATTTTCCTCTCTATTTTTTATTGTAAGAATACAGTATATAATACATAAAACATACAAAATATGTGTGAATTAACTGTTTATGTTGTCAGTGAGGCTTCCTGTAGGCTATTAGTAGTTATGTTTTTTGGCTTTGTTTGTTTGTTTTTGGGGGGAGAGAATTAAACCTTATTTATTTAAAAAATCAAACCACTAGGAAAATATATCACAGCCTGGAAACAGCAAGTGGACAGGCTATATTATCATTTCAAGTAATAAGTTGGTGAAAATACAGTGAGGTTGCTATCAAAACAATAAGGTGTCATGATGGGGCAGGAATACTGCAAGTTGCAAAAGCCCAAGGCAAAAGCGGTATTTGGTAATGGGGGCTGCCTCTCTTTTGCTCTAAGGGAGTCAGCTCATCCTAGACCAAGTTGGTTACTTTTTCTCCCTCGAATTTCCTGTTGCCAGGGGTTTGTCTCAATTGGGCTTTGTTAACTCAGGGGGCTAAGTAGGCAATGCTAGGTTTAGGCTTTCGTTCCCTCTGTTCTGTAAAAACCAGGCTTTTCCAAATCCAGTACTTTATAACTCTATTATAATCAAGTAGCCAACTGGTCCTCTTTTATTCCTCTAGTATTCCTACATACTAGTATATATCACAATCAAAATCCCCTTCTCTTTAAGGGGAAAGTGTTACTGCAAGATTGTCCTGTCATGCTGGGGGCAGTGGCTCATGCCTGTAATCCCAGCACTTTGGGAGGCCAAGGCGGGTGTATCACCTGAGGTTGGGAGTTTGAGACCAGCTTGACCAACATGGAGAAACCCCATCTCAACTAAAAATACAAAATTAGCCAGGCGTGGTGGTGCACGCCTGTAATCCCAGCTACTCCGGAGGCTGAGGCAGGAGATTCGCTTGAATCCAGGAGGCAGAGTTTGCGGAGAGCCGAGATTGTGCCATTGCACTGCAGCCTGGGCAACAAGAGCGAAACTCTGTCTCAAAAAAAAAAAAAAAAAAAAAAATTTCCTGTCATTGTCATTTTGCTACAGTCTCAGGGTCCATCAGTGAGTAATTATGCTTCTCATAATTAGTGTGTCATCACCTTTCATGTTTTTGCATGGTCCCCAGGCTGAAAGATGCAGCATGTAATAATTTTAAGAAATGTACATCCACATCTTGATGACCAGAAATGGGGATCTACAAGCAGCCTTTCAAAGTTCTTATTCAAACTAGTCTCCCTCCCAATTCCACATCTTAAAATCAACTTGAATGCCCTTGTATAAATTACACAAAACCAAGAACACAAACACTCAGAAAACCTTTTCCCTTCTAAGTTAGTGACCTCATGGATTTTGTTTCACAGCTTATGGAAAATGGTATGGTGACACTTCTGGTAAACAGGATGTTGGCAACAAAGAGAAAATATCTCTCCTCGAACTCCACCAACTGTAACCTGCCAGGCTGTTGGTACCTGTGTAGTAAGAAGAGTCTGGTACCTTGGAGGGCTCTGGCTTGTTACAGGAGAGATCCTTACTACCAGGACAGGCACTGGCCACAGGAAATACAAACTCCAAAATTCTCCTGTAATGTCTCTGACCCAATTAACACCACTTTTTTTCCATTTCATTTTTTAGGACTGAGACATAAAAGAACCAGTGTTCAGAGGCAAGTGACATATGCCTTACGCTTGCAGCCATCCTTAATTTATTAATTCATAAACTTTGCTTAAAAGACTAAAATTCTCAATTCCTTATAAAAAATATATCCTTGCCCTCCGCCCCGATGGGCATTGGCAAAGACTTTTATTTCCCCATGGATAAAAGAACTCCTTTATCTTCTTGGTCATAGTTGGGAAAAGGTGCATGTGGTCATCCACACACTTGGTCACACAACCATCCAGCTGCTGCTTCACCTCAAGCTCCTTACTCCAGGCATCTATTGAATCTTTGGCTTTGTCATTGCAATGCATGGTGCAGCAAGCCAGGCAGTTCTGGAACTTCTCCAACTCACTGGTGACTAAAGCCTGGGCTTGAGCCAGAGGCGCATGGCAATGCTCAATGCACTGGTACACCTACTGCATGGAGGCCTACCTGTCCTCACAACAGCTGGCGCTGCACCTGAACATGAGACCCTGCATCTTCCGGATGTTCTCTTTCTCCAGACTCTTCACCATGGAGTCCACCGCCTCCTGCACCCGCAGCTGCTGCAGCTCTGCCATGGCGACCCTGCGCTGCCCCGCGCCGCGCCGTGCCGTGCCGTGCCGGTGCCCCATTTTTTTTTTTTTGAGATGGAGTTTGGCTCTGTTGCCCAGACTGGAGTGCAGTGGCATGATCTTGGCTCACTGCAACCTCTGCCTCCCTGGTTCAAACGATTCTCCTGCCTCAGCCTCCTGAGCAGCTGGTATTACAGGTGCGAATCAACATACCTTGCTAATTTTGTATTTTTAGTAGAGACAGGGTTTCACCACATTGGCCAGGCTGATCTCAAACTCCTAACCTCAAGTGATCTGCCTGCCTCGGCCTCCCAAAGTGCTGGGATTACAGGTGTGAGCCACTGCAAGTGACCAGTAATTACGTTTTTGAAGTGTGAAAGCATATGCAAATTTTTGACTATGCGGGGGATCAGTGCAGTGCCCCTAACCCCGTGTTATTTAAGGGTCAACTATACTTGCATTCCCCAAAGATGCCACCCTGGCTCATGCTTTACTATCTCTGGCCATGTATCCCTTGCCCAGAATACTTTCATTTTTCCTACAATGCCATCCACCTGTGGAATATTTACTCCTTTTCCCAGTGTCAGGTCAAGCCCCATTTCCTTTGGGAAAAATTTCTTAGCCCCTTCTTCCAGGTAGAATTGACTTTTTCCCTTTGAATCTATTTTGCACCTTATATGGAATTCTGCTCTATATCTGCTGCATTTTTATTGCTGTTATTTTATGTCATATTCATATGTGCTTAAAGGTAGAGACCACATTGTAACTTTGCATGCTCAGAGCCTAACATAATACTCAGTAGGTGTTCAAAAAAGGATGACCAACTGACCTATCAAATAAATGAATCTATGAAATTGGAGCAATCATATTACTTTAGCATACCTCAGAAGACTATTGTTGGGTAATGTATGTGGCAATTTTACAATATATGTAATTTTAAATATATACATATGTGATTACTTTTGAACTCTTAAAGATGAATTGAAATGGCAATTTATTACTTGCTCTTCAGTTTGTGCACCCATGGTGAGTCATTTCCAATCCTTCAGATTGGGTTGTTTCTTCTTAAATCATGGGATTATGAAAATATATTGCTGGAAAAGGTATTGGAGATGCTGTGATTCTACCACTTTATTTTATGGACAAGGAGATTGAGTAAAAGCATTACCATCACACCCCACTACCACCAGAGCCAGTGAGACATACTTAAACTGCCTCTGATGAAAACAGAAATAATGCAGTTAGAATATTTTGAAGAAAAGAGAATTTAAATGTAATTCAACAAAGAAAAACCACCAAATTTGCATTTATAAAAGTAATAGACACTGACTCTTAAATTGTTTCTAAGTAAAATATTGTGAATGAACTTCATTCAACATTGATGTATCCTTTGCCTCTGGGGCATTCTAGAGATTTTATCTGTTATTGTGAAAAATTGCATCTGAATAATGTATAACAAGATGTATATATTCAAATTGCCTTTGAATAATGTATAACAAGAAAGGTTTTCTTTATTCATTTAGTGTCTTTCAAGGAACTACAAGTACCTTGTGGACTTTAGGTTAGGCGTGGCATATTGCATGCAAGCTTTTTCACCTAACCTTAACATTTTGGTTACAGCAGTAGCAATTTGAGCCTATAAGAGTAGCATTTAATAACCAGAGAGACACCTTGACAAAGGGACAAACTTTGATGGTCCACTCTGTCCATCAGCATAACTTGGAAGCACTGTCTTGGGAGTGAAGAATGGTGAACTTGTGGTGGAGGGATCCTTGCTTGACCCTAAGTAGCATCTACTGGTGGGATTCAGACATTTCTGGACTTGCAGAGGAGTCTGTAGGGCCAATAGTTCAGAGGCGTCAATATGCAGGCCTGTCATGGTGGTGCCCTAGTAACAAACCATGGTCACAAACTGGAAAGATGAGCACTCTCCGCTGCTTCCAGACTGCAGTGTGCAGCTCAGTGAGGGCTGCAGGAAGCGTGGCACAGCTTTGCTGCTTTGGGGCTTCAGGAGCCTTCTTCCTTGGCACAGGCAGGGAGTAGTTATAGTGATCATGAGTTTGGCAGCTGAAGTGGGTAGGAGGTTTTCTCAAGAATCATCAAGAACAGCAGGTACCAGCAAGGCAAAGATCTGAAGGACTATTCATGAATTTATGGGAGACACTCATGGAGATGCTCCCAAACTCCTGGGCAAGACTTTGAGGGGGTGCAGAAAGTCCCATATTGGGCAATAGAATTGATTCAATCATTAACAAACCTGTGCCAAGCACTTTTCTTGGAGATGGAGAAATAGCAGCAAATGAAACAAAGCTCCCTACCCTTGTAGAGCTTACGAAAAGCATCAGTGTAGGCAGAATGATTAAAAATGAGTATGTTGTATAGGGTTTCTAGCATGTTTATAGCATGTATGCTATAAAATTTTAGAGGAGCTGAATAAGTGGATTAGGAGTGTAGGGTGGAAGAAGGTAGTCTTACTAGGACTTATTAAAAAGATGATGAGTTGGTCTACCAAAAAGATGCATGCATTTGTATGTTCATTGCAGCACTATTCATAATAGGAAGATGTGGAATCAACATAGGTGCTCATCAGTGGTGGACTGGATAAAGAAAATGTGGCAAATATACACTATGGGATACTGTGCAATCATAGAACAAAATTATGTCCTTTACAGCAACATGGATGTAGTTGGAGACCATTATCCTAAGTGAGTTAACACTGAAACAGAAAGCCAAATACTATATTTTCTCATTTGCAAGTGGTAAACACTGGGTACTCATGGACATAAACATGGCAACAACAGACACTGTGGACTACTAAAGGGGGAAGGAGGGAGGGGGCAAGGGCTGAAAAACTAACTACTGGGTAATATACTCACTACCTGCATGACAGGAATCAATCATACCCCAAACGTCAGCATCATACAATATACTCAGGTAACAAACCTGCATGTATGTCCCCTAGAATAAGAGTTGAAGCTGGACACAGTGGCTTAGGCTGGGTGTGGTGGCTCACGGCTGTAGTACTGGCACTTTGGGAGGCTGAGGCAGGTGGATCACTTGAGGTCAGGAGTTTGAGACCAGACTGGCCAACATAGGGAAACTCTGTTTCTGCTAAAAATACAAAACTTAGCTGAGCGTGGAGGCAGGTGCCTGTAATCCCAGCTATTCAGGAGGCTGAGGCAGGAGAATTGCTTGTACCTTGGAGGCAGAGGTTGCAGTGAGCCGAGATCACACCATTGCACTGCAGCCTGGGCAACAAGAGTGAAACTCCATCTCAAAAAATAAAGTTGAAATTACATATATATATACATACATATACATATATATGTATAAAATTAATGTTATATAAGTTTTCTAGCATGTTAGCTGTGATGTATGTAACATATGTGTATTACACACACACACACACACATATATATGATGTTATCTGAACAAAGAATTGAAGTAGGTAGGGGAATTAGCTAAGTGGGTGGCTAAAGAGTGTCCCAGGCAGAAGGTATAGCTATAGCAATGATCCTAAAGTGGGAATGCGGTTGGCATATTCTAGTAATCTCAAGGAGTACAGTGTGGCTGGTGGCACCTAAGCGGGGAAGCAAGTAGTATGACATGAGTTCAGAAAAATTATCTGAAGCCAGATCGCAAAGGGCCTTGTAGGACTTTACTGAGTCAAATGGGAAGATACTGTGGGGTTTTGAGTAGGAAATGACATGATCACATTTAATTTTAAAAGAATCTCTTGGGTGGCTGCTGAGGATAGTGTAGAATTTGAGAGGTCTACTAAAAAAATATTGCAGTAATGTAGGCAAAAGCTTGGGCCAGAGGGTAGTAATGTTAATACATGGTTAGAATCTGGATATATTCTGCAAGTAAAGCCAACAGCATTTGTCTGTTAGAGAGAAGGTGGCATTAGGGGTAACTAATTTGAGCAAGAGGAAAGGTGAAGTTGCCATCAAAGAAACAGGAAAGTGAACTGGGCGCGGCGGCTCACGCCTGTAATCCCGGCACTTTGGGAGGCTGAGGCAGGTGGATCACTTGAGGTCAGTAGTTCAAAACCTGCCTGGCCAACATGGTAAAACCCCATCTCTACTAAAAATACAAAAAAATTAGCTGGGTGTGGTGGCAGGTGCCGGTAATCCCAGCTACTGGGTGGCTGAGGCACAAGAATTGCTTGAACCCAGGAGGTGGAGGTTGCAGTGAGCCAAGATCACATCACTGCACTCCAGCGAGGGCAACAGAGTGAGACTTCATCTCAAAAAAAAAAAAAAGAAAAGAAAAAAAGAAAAAAAAATAGGAACGTGGAAGTGGTATAGATTTGTGCAGCTCAGGAGTTGGATTTGGCTATATTGACTTTGGGATGTCTGTTGGTCATCCAAGAGGAGATGTCAAAACTTTAATTATTTCCAGTATTGTGACCTCATGATTACTGCAAGTGATGAATCCTGGGGAAATCTGGGTTACAATCACCATGTGCCCTTGAGGTAGAAAGTTCTGAGGCGATATTTGCAAAAGTAGCCCTTGTGACTTCTTAGAAATTAGAGGTGTCCATGAGAGAGTTTGGTAAGTGGCTAGATTTTTAGCACTGGGGAATACCATCGCTCCCTACAGTCTAAAATCTTTGTGAAAAGATTTGAATGCTTCCAGGCAAAACTAATTTTGGGCCCACCAATTTCTTTTAATGAAAGTAATTATTTCTTTGTGTGGTTGTCTCTATTGCGTGATTTTGTGCTTCTTGGAGTCAGACACTATGCTCTCTTTATCCCAGTATTCCAAGCAATTGGCAACCTAGTGTCTAGAAGCAACAAATGAATGCTTTTAGAATGAATGAGTCAATAACTTTATTCTACGTAAAAGCCTAATTATTTTCAAGTAAACTATTTTTAAATAATTAAAGCCATCTATCTATCTCCCACTTAATGTCCTTAATTTGTTCCAATAAAACAAAGAATAAAGTGAAAAACCATTAGGCAAAAGTTGTATTATCATAATTCATATGTGTTGTGGATGAACATAATATATTCTTATCTCATGGTAAGGT